TTATTGATTTTTTTGTCGCTTCAGTATAGGCCCGATTTTCAGCGAAAGTGCGAAATGGCCCTGGTGTCGTGGATTTTGAGACTACGTTTTAGATGCGTCTGAATGAGGGCTACAAAATGCAAAAAAATAATTGAAAACAATCAAAAGCTTTTTTTTAAATCGAAAAAATGTGAAAAATGCGGTCGCTTTTCGCTCGGTTTCGGTCAGAAAAAAAAATCATATCTCGAAATGGAATAACATGCCGAAAAAATATAAAAAACCCCCCTAGAGATACGACTTCTACATTTAAAAAAATATTGGAGGATCACTGATGGTTATTCAGAAGTTGTACCTTTGTGACCCTGACTTTACGCGAGGAGAGTACGTGAGCGCGATAATGACGGTGAATAAATGTTTTGTAGCATGATTTTGTTTTTGAACCGAAGTGATTCTTGTATATATGTATATATAAACTGAATGTCGGAAACGGCTCCAACGATTTTCATGAAATTTAGCACACAGGGGGTTTCTGGGGCAATAAATCGATCTAGATTAGTCTTATGTCTGAAAAAACGCGTGTTTTCGAGTTTTCATGCAGTTTTCTTCTGCATTATTCCACGCAAAATATGGTCGGTAATTTGCACGCTCGGGCATAAGTAAGCATCGTGGTCAAGCGGCCAACGTGCGGTACGTGTTGTACAAACTGTAGAAATTATAAATGTTTGATAATATAAAAAAATAATGCATTAAAATGCATGGGACATACTGAAAAAAAAACATCGCGTACACATTCTTTCATAAGAAACACGAGTTATGATTATTCGGTCCAGGTGCAATTGAAACAGACATACACAGACAAGATACACTGTTTTATCAGTGTATATCGTCATGATGTTCATAATTTCATGTAGAAAGTACTTTAATTAGATATGTACTTAGAAAATAAGTGCTGCGAGTACTAAAATCACGTCGCTGCTCCTTTGTTATTTCGCGGCGGGTGAACGAACTTTGTCATATTAAAAGCATATATTATAATAGAGATGTATATAAAAAGTTTCATAAAGTCTTTAAAGTTTCATATTTATACATTAAATGTTGTTTAATAGATTATATAAACAAAACCAAGAGTTTTTTTTATTATTTGTACATTATATTACAACATTCGAGATTTAGTGGCTATATTTTAATATTTTTTATGATACCCACTAAGTCTTATATTTAGTAAGTTCAAGGAGAAAACTTGTTTTCAATTTGCGCGCTTTCATAAAGAGCGAGAATTTTAAATATGAATTTATAATATACGCGGGCGAAGCCGCACAAAGTAGTAGAAGCGATTTATCTAATCGCACTACTATTATGAATGTGAAAGTTTCTATGAGTGTGTGTGTGTGTGTTTGTTACTTCTGATGCTGTAACGGGTAATCGGATTTGGATACCATTTAGTCTATACATATAATAAAATTGTGACTAAGTCGAATCTGTACATTAAATATTTTTTGGAAAATCTAATTGAAATAGACATTATTATCGATACAGAGTACGAATCTATTGTTTTTAGAATTTTTGTCTGTCTGTCTGTTACCGCATCACGAGAAAATCACTGGACAGATTTTGATGAAATTTGGTACGATGATAGCTGGTTATCTACACTGACCACATGTTGGCCCACATATAGGTTACTTTTTACCGCGGGAAAATATCTTATTTCTGAGAAAAATTACAAAAACTGCATTGTAAGAGTATACTAATATGTAAAACCTAAGAATGTGGTTTTTGGTCATCTGAACGCGTGCGGAGCCGCGGGCAGTGCTAGTACATTGATAAAATATAACCTAGTCGCATAGACGTATGTTAGGCACCTAGGATCGTAAATCCCTTGTGTTATAATATTTTCTACATGTAATATTGTCATAGTCCATTAATCTGTCAATAGTTTAGTATTTAGCACTCCGGTCGCGTTAGCGTTGGATCCCAAGAGGCTTTAATTTATTAATAGATTGCTCATAGCTCGATGGGCTGGTCTCAATAAATAGATCTTCATTTAAATAATAACGTTTCGGTAAAGGTTCATCTGAAACATAAATTTTATTGGATTAAAAGGGTGACGCGATGTCGTTTTATACGATGAAAGTATCGGTAGGTAAGTGCGTTTATGTTATATTTTATGTTCATACTAGCATTGCCCGTGGCTCCGCCCGCATTCACATGACCAAAAACTAAATTCTTAGGTTTTACATATTAGTATACTCTTACATTACAGTTTTTGTATTTTTTCTCAGAAATGAGATATTTTCCCGCAGTAAAAAGTCTTAGTAAAATCCTATATGTTGACCCGGATAATCAGCTATCACCATACCAAATTTCATCATAATTCCTCCAGTGATTTTTCTGTGATGCGGTAACAGACAGACAGACAAACAGACACACAAAAATTCTAAAAACTATAGATTCGGCCTCTGTATCGATAATAATGTTTATTTCAATAAGATTTTCAACACAATATCTAATGTAAGATTCGGCTTGGTTCCAATTTTATTATAAGTATAGATTTTAATGCGCTAAATAAAATATGTATGCGATAGAATTTACGTTGGTGTTGTGAAAGTTACGTCTGGTTTAACATCACGAGTGTGGGGATTTTCAGTTTGACATTAAATAATCACTGTAATTGATTAAATACAATATTGCCACCAATTTTACTAACATATTTTTGTTAACTTATTTTTATCTTTTTTTTCTTTACAAATATATGTAATACAAAACAAGTTGCACTTAACATTTTATCTTTACCCTTAGAAGAATGATTTCTTATATGAATCCTTGAGCCACATTTGTCAAAAAAAAAGATTATAAAAATCGATTTACTATTGGCAAAATATTTACACAATAAAAAACCCGATTTGACCACCTCGTACTTGGACTGGAAGTTGGATGAAATAGTTTGCTGCAATGAAAAATCATTAGTTACAGAAATTCTTATGACTTATTACTATACTTTTATAAAATAATTACTAGGTGGATATAAAGTACAAGTATCTATATATAAATACTAGCGACTCACCCTCCCTTCGCTCGGGTTCGTCCCTAGATATGTTTTAATATTTTTGAGCGGAACCGTAGTTTTTTTTTCTAAAAGAAAAGTAGCCCGTCAAAATCAGTCCAGCTGTTTCAGAGATTATCTGAAACAAACAGGCAGACAGAACAAAATTTAAAAAATGTTTCTTATAAGTACCATATATAATTTCATATGCATTTAGTAAAACGCTGTTATTTTGACATTACAAACAGACACTTCAATTTTATTTATCTGTATAGATTCGAAGACAGTTCAGTGCCTTTTTCTCCTCTGTTTATTAATCGATTTTATATTTTTGTTTAGTAGCTAATGACGAGTGATCAATAAGAAAATTTCGGTTTTTTTTTATATAATGGTTATGGTCGAATTTTGACCACTGGACTAACACTAGTTCGCATAATACGATTATAGAACTCACTCGAAATCTTTGTAACGCAGCAGTAGTCAGTATGAAGCAAAAAATAAATTCTTATACTAATAAACATAAATTAAAACCTTTCATTACAACAACATAAATCTGGGAAAATCCAATGTTATTGTTCTCAAATAAAAATCGTTCATGAGCGGATATATATATTCTTTTTTGCTTTCAAACTGAGGATTTCCTTCTAATCTCTTGAACTAAAAAGATCTTTCTCTCTTTGTAGGAAATTTCAGTGTGACATTAATCCATTGTTCTTTCGTTTCTTTAAGTAAAATAAAATGCAATTACTATTCACACTCGGAAACTACATTCTCCATGCAACATGGATATTGACATGACATGCTTTTGTTTGTTGTATAAGGGAGTAAAAATCTTGAAATCATTTTCAAACGCGTCGTCGCTTGCTGAATAAACTGTAAAACTAGTGACATATGTATCTCAAAAGTCATTTCTTATCTATATAAACAAAAATGAATGTTGGTAAGCGCATAACTCCAGAATGGCTGGACCAATTAGGCTAAAAAAATTTTTGTATGTTCCTTAAGGTCCACGGAAGGTTTTAATAGAGAGAAAAAATGAAAAGTTAATGAAAAAAATTATAATATTTATATGGCTAAGCTGGCTGATAAGTCTTTATATCTATTTAAAACGTACCGCTAGTTTTCTATATTTACACATTGCATTTTATACCAGGTGATATTAAATATCGTAATTTATCCCGCGGTAAAAAAGTATTCAAAATGTTGACCGGGAGACCCAGCTATCACTAATCCAAAGTTCATCAAAATCTGTCCAGTTATTTTCTCGTGATGTGTTCCCAGACAGATAGACAGACTAACAGACAGACAAAAGTCCTAAAAACTATAGGTTCGGTCCTGTATCCATAATAACGATTATTTCAACTAGATTTTTCGAAAAATGTTTAATACACAGATTCGACTCCGAATTTTATTAAATGTAGGTATATATACTTATTCATATAATCATTACAAATTAGACTCAAACTAAACATTTAGCTTGTTAGGAAATCGGGCTGTTGCTACATATCCTTTGTGACTACCAAAATCTTATACAAAACTATAAACTTATCTTACTGTGAGTATTAAATAAATAATCCGATTTTTACGAATTATCGCTCATAATAAAGAAAATAGAAAAATATAGAATAATGCTCTACAGAATAATGCTTTATTGTTCACATAACAAACAAAAAATAGTGACTCTAAAATTTACTCTATTGTCTATTATTTGGTCAAACTCCAATGATACACAGTATACACATACACAAATAAATGTATGATCAATACAACTAATAACTTTTTAAATAAAACTATCTTTTCGGATTTTTTCGCGGATTTATTTGGATTTTTGGTTCCCGACGTTTTGAATGCTTTACAGCATTCGTGGTCACGGGAGAGACTGAGGTGTTAGATGTCTCAAATGTGTAGTTGTTACAGACAGCCTACCCACAATTAACAAAATAACCTTTTGTCAGATTTAAACTACAGAATAAGAAATACAATGGAATGTCTAAGTGCGGAAAAAGCCCTGTCTGAAGAAAAAGAAGAGAAGAAGAAGAAATACAAGTCAGACATTGTACTGCATCGGAATAACATAAAGCGCAAAACCATAGTTCACTGTGAATTTGATATAGCTATTATCATACGGTTTATATCAAATCAATACGTGTGTCCTCGAAAGATTTTGGGTTTGATAGGGCCAACAGTGCGACCGGAAACAAACGATTCTTACGTAATCAAATACTCCCCACATCCAAACGGGCGTTGACCTCGATGCTAAATAGTGGATTCGTTCAAACAATGGATTGCTAATCTAAGATCGCTAACAGAGATTTAAACCCAAAAAGGTTTTATAATGTGGCCTATATAAATTATTTTCTCATGGATTCTTATGCTATTTTTAGTTTTTGTTACACCCTCTTTTGCTCTATTTTGAAACTAATTAAATTTATCTGTACTAATATTATAAAGAGATAAAGTTTGTGAGTTTGTGACGTTGTAGGGGATAATCTCTGGATCTACTGAACCGATTTAGATAAAATTTGATAAGAAGATAGTTTGAGACCCTGAGAAGGATATATTTTTATCCCGGAAATCATCCCTTAAAGGGGTAAAAAAGGGGATGAAAGTTTGTATGGGAAACCAATCAAGGGGCGAACCCGAGCAAAGCTAGGGTGGGTCGCTAGTATTATAATAAACGAAGATATGAATAGAGATAAAACACATAAAACAAAAGTGAAAAATTATAATAATCGTTCTTGAAATTTTTACATTTTTAAGTAACATCCCTGATACGTATAAATTATCCTTATTCATATTTAATAATGAACTCACATATCGCTCTATGAGGCAAATTGATCTCTAATTAAATCAAAATATGTTGCTATAGTAATATACATAGTATTCGATTAAGCTTACTTATACTAAAAGTTCTAATTTTATGAATTTTACCTTTCAAAGCCTTTTGAATCTTGCATCTTACCTAAGCGTAAATATTGATTGAGAAAGTCTCCCCAAAATAAATATTAAAGTATGTGAATGACAAATATTATTTCTGCGAGGTTATATTAGACTTTCATTTAACTTCAATACTTTTTATCATCTATAACATAATTTATACTTTTATATTAATATTATAAATAGGCAGAGTTTGTTTGTTTATTTGTTGGAACGCGCTAATCTCAGGAACTACTAATCCGATTTGAAAAATTCTTTTTGCAATAGATAGCCTGTTTATTAAGGAAGGCTATAGGCTATATTTCATTCTGGAAAATGTACGGTTCCCGTGGGATAGATTAGTTTTTCTCTAGGGACTAACGCGAAGCAAAGCCAGGGTGAGTCGTTAGTTTATTATAAAAATAATGTATTGCAATTAAGCTTCTATTTTATGTATTATTCGGGTGAAACACTGATACGTACGAGTATGTTCTTAAATCAGTTTCTTCTTTTGACACAATATAAATTTGCCTCTAATTATATTATTTTTCATTTGCTACCCTTTTTTACCGAATCATTCTCAAGTTACCATATAAAATTATTCATATATTACATTACTATAAGGTTTTATAGCCTGTACCTTTCATAGATTGGAATATTCGAGCAATTTATACGAGAATTTATCGACTCAATTCTCTTCTTCTTTTTTCTTACTTTAACTCTTAAATTCTACTTCTACTCATACAGACAAGGATAGTAACAATTCCATATATATTTTTCGCAAATATATATGTATATATTTAATCAGTCAATCTTTAAATGTATCATTTTTAAATAATATTATCATCAAGATGTATTGCAAAACTATTTCGCTGTAATAAAATAACAATAAATCTAGCGTTTCGCTTACAAACCATAGACGAGCTAATAGATTTTTAATAAATTTGGCGCACAAATTGATTGTCGGCCATTTTGCAAGGCGACCACGGTCTGGTTGGCCAGTTTGAATTTGGAATGAGCACGCGGGCAGGGCCCATCAATCATTGGCCCGCTGGCCCACGCCTGACGCACACAAATTATGATTGAGATTTATGCCTCTTTGCTATGAGCTAGCTTTAATAGCGATATGGTGTACCAATGCGCTGTACCAACATAGAGTTAATAGACGAAAAATATTTACTAGAACTTACAAAAATATTTCCTTTTACTATCTATATCACGTATGGAGATGTACCACAAATCATTACCAAAGCAACTTCGGTGGTTGTACCAGGCTATACGTTTAAATGCTTATTATAGTTTTATCAAAATTGGTTTTCGTTTGTATGCAATACCATAGTAAAAATCTGAATATCGAACCTATTCTGCCGAATATACTTATATCTTTCGTGTAAACGATCGGTATGCATAAATATGAAAACAGGTTACACGTTTTTCGATACGCTGATATAAACACTGAAAATAGAGACCTTTGTAGCGACACTATTGAGTAAATCGTCCCAACGTATTGTCGGGTTATCTAAAACGACGAGCGTTACTGCAGATAGAAGTCGGGTGACAGTGTAAAGGAGGCGATGAAAATTATCAGTATCTTTATTCACTTTTTTGATATAAAATGTCAAAAGAATGAAATTTAATCTTGGATTTATAAATGAGTGCTTAGATTTTTTTATTTTGTTTTTGATTATGTTCAAAAAATAGTAGGTTATTTTTGTGTGTGCGCGTTTGTATTAGGTGATATCTTCGTACCTCCATCTTGTTTATTCATTGTATGTATTCAGCTCTTTTTTACGTCCCACTCCTGGGCACGGGCCTTCCTTCAGTACGAGGGGAATCAGGCCATAGTCCACCATGCTGGCCAAATGTGAGTTGGTGGACTTCATATGTCTTTTGAAAACTTGCTGGTTCTCTCAGACATTCAGGTTTTACTCACGATATTTTTCTTCACCGTAAGACAAGTGGTAATCATGTTGGAAATGATTCGCACATGAAAATATCAGAGGTGCTTGACCCGGGATTTGAACTCTCTTCAATAGGTTTCCCAAGCGAGCGCGTTACCACTGGGCTACCACTGCCTTATGTTTCTTCATTGTGAATACATTTACATATTTCTTTAATGTTAATGTATAATTTTGTTATACATCCAGGTCTGTACTATATAAACAAGAAAATATTCTAGATTGTCCTTTAGAGTGGAAGAATTACTTTAAAGCGTTTTTCAGGTCGGTGTACCTTTTTAATTGAAAAAAGTCAAAGTAATATTATAAAAGGGTAAGCTTATGAAGATGGATGTGTGGATGTTTATTACACATAAATTAGTAAACAGATTTTGATGAAACTTTACATTTATGTATCTTATATTTCAGTGTAAAACACAGGCTATAATTTATCAATACATAAATGTAGCAACGCGGCGAACCCGAGAGAAATCGCTAGTTATATATAAACCCTTTATTCTAATATAATGTATTTTTTATCTTAAATAGAGTAACTAAACTTTTCTCTCCCATAGCGGTGTCTACGGATACATACATCGACTTGCTACAAAGCGTAGCGCGCCGTAGCCGCGTACTTTCGTAGCAGTATTTTTCTTTTAAACAATTCTTTCTTGTCTTTATAAATTTTATATTGCTTAAAAATAAGAGCTTTGCCCTTAAATATCTTTATATATATAATATATATATATATATATATATATATATATATATCCTAGGCAGAATTTAGTAAATAGCTGTGATTTATAATAATAATGATCGATTCCGGCCACGGCGGTCAATCTCATTAATACTAGCCATTTGCGCAGAAGATATTATAGTGCACAAGCATGCGCAGATACAAGTGCACTCTCTATTCCCGCTCTTTCTGTCACTCTCATACTTCGGTGGGATGACTACTCGACATGACCGGTGAGAGTTAAGGCGCAGGACCGACGACTTTTCGTGCTCTCCAAGGCACAGGGGTGAAAAACCTCCTTCCCAACTCCGGGCTGTTACTGAGACTTACTATACAGAAAGACTCAATAACTAAACTTGGCCCGATCCGGGACTCGAACCCAGGACTTCCGGGTGTGCAGCCGTACATGCTAGCCACTACACCACCAAGGCAGAGTTAATGGCTGTAATTTATACTGTGAAATTTACACAAGCCTATTTTAGAAAATTGAATTAATGATTATTATATGAAAGTATTTATCATATAAATATTATCATATGAGTTACGCTTGATTATAAATATGTTAGAGCATTAAAACAATGATAATATCATTATCATAATTAGCTATTTTAGAATCGATCATATATTTTGGTTTTGTAATTAGTCTATCCCAACAAATTTGATAAGAGATTATGATAAACAATTTTAATATTAATACAATTTTTAATATTAGATTAATATTAATTAAGTATTTTATCTAGTTAGCGCTGTAATGATATAAGAGAGTAGATATAAAATTACATTATCCCAGCGGTCCGCTGGAATATCAAGGCAAATTATTTTAAGAATTTCAATGAAACGAGACATTCTTGCGGTATAGATTCTCACAAAGAAATTGAAGATTAATTTTCTAAAACTGTACCTATTTATAGTTTATAATTAAAAATGTTAAAACTAATGTATTTGCATGAACTACGAGTATATCTAATATATGAGTTCACACAAGTGACATGACCGATTGTTTTGCTTTTAGATATTTCAAATATTAAAAGTTATAATTTCTTCTACATATTTAATTTAGATTTTCAATTTAACTTTATTTGTTACTAATTCTTGCCCGCGTCTTCGCTTGTGTTTACGATATGAGGAGCGGATGTGTTAATCTAAGGTATAATTTCGAATCTCATGTCACTTAATTACTGAACTTTTTATTTTTTAAATATATATATATATATATATATATATATATATATATATATATATATTGTTAAATGTATTATGATATAATTAATAATACACTAATATACTAAGAAGCTTACGTACAAACCAAAAGTTTTACTATAACACAATGTAAGTTGCATCGTAAATTAAGGGTCAGAAAAAAATATATCCAAAATTCTCCTTTTATCATACATACTTTGATGTTTTTATAGTATTTTTAATGGTCCTTTTTAAATAAAACTATCTTTTCGGATTTTGTCGCGGATTTATTTGCATTTTTGTTTCCCGACGTTTCGAATGCTTTACAGCATCCATGGTCACGGGAGAGACTGACCTCAGTCAAATATTCGCGTAAATCTAAGAAAGTATTATTTTTAATGGTCCTATTACATAGCTCTTTGATTAGCGACATGTAAATGCACTATAATTTGACGATCTGTTCGATTTTTGACGGCG